AGATGGCATAGTCACCAGTAATACCACTCCCCTAATAAATTACAACAGTGTACTGAAGGAATTGGACTTAGGCAATAACTTTTATTAAACAAATATTCTTGATGGTACACATCTCTCCCCAATTTTGTCACAGACACCTAGTTCTTTAAGTAAGTCCAAGAAGTATAACTTATTTAACTCAATGTAGATAAATCCCCTTAAAGTTCCACTCCTATCTGAAATGAAGGAAACAAAAAATAAAATAAATGCTGGTCAGCAGCTGTAAATGTTAAGTTTAGAAAGTCATTTGCACATACATTTTAAAAAAAATCAAAGTGAGGGGCGCCTGGGTGGCTCAGTTGTTGAGCAACTGCCTTCGGCTCAGGTCATGGTCCCGGAGTCCTGGGATCGAGCCCCGCGTCGGGCTCCCTGCTCCACGGGAGGCCTGCTTCTCCCTCTCCCACTCCCCCTGCTTGTGTTCCCTCTCTCGCTGTGTCTCTCTCTGTCAAATAAATAAATAAAATCTTTAAAAAAATAAATAAAAATAAAAAATCAAAGTGAATATATGCAACTACTTAAAAACAAAGAAGTGGAGCAAAATATATCAAAATGTTAATAATTGTTTTCAATGGTTGGTGTAAACTCATGAGTGCTTTTTCATATTTTTTTCTCAGTATTTTCCAGATTTTTTTTCTTTTAAGTGGGCTCCATACCCAACGTGGGGCTTTAACTCACAACCTGAGATTAAGAGCTGAATGCTCTACCTACTGAGCCAGCCAGGTGCCCCTATTTTCCAGATTTTCTACAATAAGCATGTATTGTTTTTATGGTGGGAGAGTGTTTTAGGGAAAAAAGGCAAGGAAAAAGTTTTAAATTCTACATATTGCTTTTTTAAGTTGAGTTAAGCTTAAATACTTAGAAGTTCCCAAGCATCAGATAAGGAATAGGGGAAAAAAAGGCAAGAGCACTCAATTTTAGAACTTGGACAGATCTTACAAATCATTAGATTTGATATCTACATTTTGAAGATGAGAAAGGAACAGGCTTGGTATTGTACAATTTCAAGTTCACATAGTTAAGTTCCAGAACCTGTAACTCTAAGTTCTGTCATTATTCTAAGTCCATACTCTATACTCCCTGAAGACTAAGTTATCCTAATAGAACGTAAATTTGTACATACAGTATGGCTATTAACTGTTTTTTTAAAAAAATTTTATAACTGTTTACAATGATATTTTCTATGATTTTTATTATAAGACAAATGGAATATATCAAAATGTCATCAGGAGGGGCGCGTGGGTGGCTCAGTCAGTTAAGCATCTGTCTTTGGCTCAGATCATGTTCCCAGGGTCCTGGGATTGAGCCCCACATTGGGGTTCCTGCTCAGTGGGAAGCCTGCATCTCCCTCTCCCACTCCCCCTGCTTGTGTTCCCTCTCTAGCTGTCTCTCTGTCAAATAAACAAAATCTTTAAATATATCATCAGGAGCTAAGTGCCTTTAATGTATTCAGCTTAGTGGGTTTTTCAAATTTGTAATATAGTAATATTTCTGGACTTCAGTGTTCTCAGTTATAAAACATGTTAACAAGTTACCTACTTCATAGAATTACAAATAAAAATAGGATCAATACCTTGGCACAGAGTAAATGCTATTAGTTATTTATGATAAAATTTTCAATTTTAAATTATTGTCTCTCCTACAGTGAAGTTTAAGTGCAACAGAGGGTTTCAGGTTAGGTACAAAGACACTAGTAATTTTTCACTCAAAGAATTCATGGAAACATATCCTTTATGCACTATTGGCAGATTCATTCAAGAGGCTAAATAATTCTGACTATTCAAAAACTAATAAGCTACTAGAGGCTTCAAGAGCAGAGCTTCTTGAATAAATGTTTTATTTTTTTCTTTTTTTGCATTACAAAGCTTTAACGAAGGGCACTGGTGCTGATTAGAAAGAAAGGGATTGCAGAGTGTAATCTAGCATGAAAAGCCCAAACTGACAACCTAGAACTCAAACTCACTAGCCCCAGCCATCCAGATGGTCCACTCCTCCCTGTAGATTTTTTTGTGTGTGTGAGAAAGAGAGAGAGAGAGAGAGCGTGTGGCGTGCACGCAGAGCAGGAGAGAGGTGCAGAGGAAGAGGGAAAAGCAGGCTCCCCATTGAGCAGGAAGTCCGCATCCATCCCAGGACCCTGAGATCATGACCTAAACTGAAGGCAGACGCTTAAACGACTGAGCCAGCCAGGCGTCCCCAGATGATAACTTCTAAGACAGGTGGTGAGTTGAGGAAAAAGGGTCACCTGCTATACATGATACCAAGTGTTGGATGGGAACACAATACTAAATTCTGGCAGGCATAAAGCAAGCTGTACTGTTTGTTCCTATCTTCCTTCTTTGTCCCAGTTTTCCTTCTGTCCATCTTTTTTCTCTTTTGCTTTTGTTCCCTTGCCTCATCCTGTCAAAGGAAACTCTTTAACACTGCCATCATTTACAGCTGTACTGTGAAATTTTCAGTTCTACATTACTTTCAGGGCATCTCCCAACTTTCACACAAAATTCATTTTGCTTGAAATGTATATATACCAGTACGCCTAATGTACACTATGTATATACACAGTATACAGGTAATTCTAAACAGCTTTGACACCAAATTCAGGTTTCACACTATAGATAGCAAACAAGTCAAAGCTACCCCATAAGGATGCTACAGTCATTCCAATTTGTACAGCAGTCTGGAGACTTATGTGGGTACTAATATTTGTGATAAGAATGATAGAAAGACATGCTAAAGGTGGCAAATATTTAGGTCCATTCAGATACTCCCTGGACTTCAGCTGGTTGGCTGTATGTTCCATATTAAAGGAAAATGAGAACAGAATTTTTTAATTCTGAATTGGGATTCAGCATAAAAAAATACCAGTGGTTCAAACGCAAAGGGAATTACATGAATCCAAAGAGGAGGATATTGCTTCTTTGCATTTCATGAAAAGATAAAAGATGGCAAATTGTTGCACATCTTTTGCTTTATAGACTGAAGGAAAGTTGACGAACTATGGTCAAAATCAACATCCCAGTTCTAGTTCAAGGCTCTAAAAACTAAATCCTTTTCAACTTGAAGATTAGATCTTCCTGACTAGTAAATGTTATTCCTATCTAGTCAAGAGAATGACATATTATTTAAAATTGCATTCTTTTTAATAATTAATCCATGTCCTTACGAATTTTACATCTCAAATAACATATAGGGGCTTAAAATATTAACTACAGGGGCGCCTGGATGGCTCCACCGGTTAAGCATTCAAATCAGGTCATGAACTCAGGGTCACAGGGTTGTAAGATCAAGCACTGTGTCAGGCTCCACACTGAGCAGGGAGCCTGCCTGGGATTCTCTCTTCCTCTCCCTCTGCACCCCCATCCCCTGCTCACGCTCTCAAAAACACAAAACAAAACAACTTAAAAAAAATATTAACAATAGTAATTTTTAATTTAAGAAATCTGCCTGGGGAAAACATTGTCCCTCACAATACATAATTTTGTTGCTAAAATGTCCTATAATTTATTTTTATTCACATTTTTTAGGAATGCATTATGTGCGAAGATGAAACACTAAGTCTAACTTCACCAGCAGCCTCACTTTTCCACAATCTCACAAAGTAGCTCACTTGTCCCACTGTTTCACTCTTATGCTCTCATTTTACAGCCATTATGACTATAATGTTGTTGCTTATATTGTTTTTTTACTTGCCTAGAATTCCCAACCATTCGAATCTTTGTCAATCAGAATTTAGAAGTACAGAGCTTTTCGTAACATGGTTGTGAAGACACTCTTTTCTGGTGGATACAGGTGGGCTGGGATCTACAGGTGTTTAGGCATTTTCAGTACATTACTGTGCTGAGTTTTCTATTATTTCCTAGGGGAAATTTCTTCCCTCTGTGCCAACTATCTTATGTATTGTCTTTCTGAAAATGCCCTGTGGTTCCAGTGATGTTATTATTTTTATGTAACTAGAGACTGTATGTAACCTGCTTTGGTTGTCAGTAAAGTGGACAAGATCCAACATGGACTTAGAGCAGTGATTGGTTTTTTGAATATATATGATCCCCATCACTCCTGGGCCTCACCAGCCAGAAGGGACACTGCTCTTTTCCTCTGCTCCAAGCTCCCATACAGACACAGATTCCTCACCACTGCAATCTGGCCCAAGAAAGGAGATGTAATTGGAGTTGATCCTCCCGATTGTTTCCACTCTGCAGTACCCTTAGTTCCAGCCGCCTGCTTCTAGGTGTTCCATGTGGGGCACAGAGTATTTGTGTGAACGCTCCCACATTTAGTAGAGTAAATGCCAAGATGCGGTTCCTCTCTTCGATTCCTGTCAGTATCTATCTTCTAACAATACTGCCACTGGGAGGCACCCATCATTTCCTTTTTATCAGAGCAGAGCTATGTCATATATTATATATAGTAAATATAATTTCTTCATTTTCTGTGTATCAACACCTATCTTTTAAGCAATCTTGACCAATCATTATGAACAGAACTTTCTGTGACAATGAAAATGCTGTGTATCCACACTATCCAACAAAGTGGCCAAAAGTCACATGTGGCTAATGAGCATCTGAAATATGGCTAGTGCTGAGGATTTAAATTTTATGTTTTATTTAATTTTAATTAACTTAAATAGCACAGGTGGCTAGTGGCCACCTACTGAACAATTCATGCAGCTCTGTATCTCTATACATTTCATCTCAACCCCTCTATTTCATCTGGCTTTCCATCTTATTTTTCTCCTCTCATCCTCTTCTCATTATATCTATCTTTTTATTTTCTATTTATATAAGAGATATGTAACAATATGTAAGGTATCTATATATACATCTTTATTACTTGTATTATAAAGACAGACTGTACTAAGTTTTATATATTTATTCTAACATCTTAAAACAGAAGTCAAGAGTAGAATGTCAAAGCAACTATCCTGCTTTTTTTTTTTTCTACAGAACAGAATGAAAATCTAAATCATCAAGGAAATAATGTAACGCTTTATTTGAATCCAAGTCTCTCAACATAATCAATTACATTCCAGAACACTGGGGTGAACTTTAGACCAACTTGATTTCTGAGACAATCACTTTGAAGAAATTGTGAAGAACTAAAAGGGTGAACATGAGCAAATACTGTACCTAATTTAAAGAGGTAGATTCCATAAACAACAGACAAGTACGCTTGATACAGGTAAGTCAGGATCTCAAAAAATGACTAAACATATTGTTGTTTAAAAGAACTTAGGAATCCAGGCACAATCCTTAAGATGCTAAGAATATAACTAGCAATATAAAAACTTCCTTTTTTGAGAGGACTATAGATCTAAGACAGACATAAGCTAGCCAGAAAACCTCCAAGTTTTCTTGTGTGGGGCTGGAACTTTCTGAGGTAGTTACTATATATACACCGGGCAGTGTTAAACACCCAATCCATGTAAATCCCATAATAACCATATAAAGCAGGTATAATTATTATTCCTATTTTACAGACAAGGAAACTGATGTACAAAGAGGTCAAATGTTTTGCCTAGTATCACTGAGCTAGTAAATGGTAAAGACAGAATTTAAACTCAGATAATCCAGTTCCAGAGTTCCCACTCTTCATCACAAAGCTGAACTGCTTCTCATAGTGTTCACTGATCTAAGACCAAAGTCAACTAAGAAAAATTTCTAACCAAAGACAGACCTATGTTCTGGCCTTATCTCTTCAACACATAAAAACATTTTATCTATAAGTCAGAATATAGTCTTAAGAAATCTGCAAAAGAAAGCAAGCCAAGAGAGCCAAAATAAATGACAAAAGTCAAGTTTTCAAGAAAATCTGTGGGCTGAAACATTGACTCAATAAGATAATAAAGATACATATATTTTAAAAATTAAGTACGTAAGAATCTGATGAGCAACGCCCAGAATGGCTGATATTAAAAAAATAAAAGAGGTTTGAAGTAGTCCTAAAATTAACACGATCAAAAAAATGCCAATGCTCCACTGTCAAAAATATGTACACTCCATAAAAAAAAAAACACACGCACACTCCAGAGCCTAGAAGTAAAGCTTATACACAACAGAAAGAAATGTCATAAACTATTTATGCTATAGTAAAAATTTTATTTACTGGACCTTACTTAAATATTCTTTATTTAAAAAATAAAAAATATAGACACATTACAGATCTTACTATAGTTACATACTTTGTTTACTGAAATGATCCTTAGATCCTTTCTCAGAGCCCATTACTTGCATCAGACATACACTTCTAAATATTTAATTGCAAAATTCCTAAACCCATGGATTAGGAAGTTACCGAAAAGCAGGGGGAGTAAATGCTTTAAGCACGCATTGCTGCAATAAATAAAATAACCAACAAAAAAAACCCCACATTAAGCTTTATAAAAATTACTACTTAAACAGTATTTTACATTTACGTTAAATAGGTCCAAACACTCTTGGCATCAAGCTCTTGGAGGCATGACTATTCTAGTAGTTATGGACATTTTTACTGCTGATTCTCCTGTGGGTCACTTTCACAAGGCGACCTGTGCCTGCCGGGACTCCCAACCACATGAAGATTCAGGAACCACAATGACCACACTGGTACCGGATGGTGTGGCGGGTGTGCTTGCAAAACAGAGGCAAGGTGCCAGTCAGGTGTGGGCAAACGTGGCAAACTCACACAACTTTGGCACTATCATCTCCTGTGACTCTGATTTCCTTTTGACTTGCCCCAGAATTGTAGAATCTGTGAAGTGCCCCACTAAAAGCTATAATAAATCCCTTTTTTCAACAGAACCCCATAAACACGCAAGAAAACAATCTCAACTTCCAACATCAGATAAGCACACTGTAAGGGCAAATACAACAAAGACAACAGCAACAACAAAAAACTCAAGGAAAATATTAAAGGAAAATTACAAAAATGAGGAAAAATAATGAGAAAAGATAAGCATCATGAAGATACAGAAGATTCAACATAACAGGAATTTAAGGAGAAACGGAAAAAAAAAAGGCAACTTAGATCTTCGCAATAAAAGGGAACACCAAATATCAAGCAAAATTAACAAAAGACCAATATCCTACGTATGTTAGGCAAAGTGTTAAATGTGCAAGAGAAAGGAAAAATACAGTAACTAAGACAAAGAGAAAAAGAAAAGACATGACCCAAGAATTCTATATTCAGCCAAGCAGTCATTCATGGGTGAGCAGAAAGGAAAGCCATTCTCAGACATGCAAGGACTTGCACTATTTTTGTCACTCTTCATGACTGCTATACTTGTCCTTTATTTTGACATAGTTGACTGAAATAGCTATCCATTTAAAATTTTTAATGACAAACAATACATGAAAAATGGTAATAACACAATAAAAAAATAAGAAAAATGATTCTTTACACATCAATAAAGGGTCTAAGATCTTATAAACAAAACTGGTCTATAAGGAGGAAAGACAGGGGAAAACTAAGGGGCTCTTATTTCAAACTGTGCATTTTTTGAATATCAATAGTAGATTCTGGTTTTTATCTTCCATTCTAGATTTCTGATACTTTCCATTTTCCCCAATGTATAATCTGTGTGTGTGGATACACACACACATAAATATATATGTTTGAGTAAATACTTTTGTGAAAATTTTAAAATAAGAAGTACATGTTTCTAGCAATTTTCCAGAAAATGGAAGACTGCTCTCAAAACAGTGTGCTCCCTTTACATCAGAAACATTCAAGCAGAGGCTATTTTGGGGGAGATGTTCTAGAATAACATCTAGCACAATCCAGCACTGGTGGATTACATGATCTCCAAAACTCTTTCTGGTAACAAGTTATCATCAACCTTAGACTATATATATATATATATATCATCCCTTTATAACAACAACAAAACAAACAGCCTAATTAAAATGGACAAAGGACATGAACAGACATTTCTTCAAGATGATAAACAAACAGCCAATCAATTAGGATGGCTACTATCAACAAAAACAGAAACAACAAGTGTTGTTGAGGAAGTGAAGAAATTAGAAGTCAGTGCATTGTTGGTAAGAACATAAAATGGTGCAGCTGTTATGGATGGTCTGCTATGGTACAGCAGTTTCTCAGAACATTGAAACTAGGATTGCCATATGATCCAGCAATCCCACTTCTGGGTATAAACCCCAAAGACTTGAAAGCAAGGACTCAAAAGGGTTATCTGCTAAGAACCCATGCTCATAGCAACATTATTCACAACAACCAAAATGTGGAAGCAACCCAAGTGCCCATCAACAGATGCATTGGAAAACAATGTGGTATACACACACACACACACACACACCACGGAATATTATTCAGCCTTAAAAAGGAAATTCTGGTACATGCTACAACACTAATAAAACTTAAGAGTACATGACGCTGACTGAAGCAAGCCAGTAACAAAAAGACAAATAGTGTATGATTCCACTTATATTAGATACCTAGTCAAATTCAGGGACAGAAAGAATGGTGGGTGTCAGGGTTGGGACAGTGGGGAATGGGGAGTTGTTTAATGGGCACAGACTTTCGATTGAAAGTCTGTACCCATTAATGATGAAAGCGTTCTGGAGATAGGTTGCACAGCAATGAGAATGTATTTAACAGTACTGAAATGTCCATTTAAAAATGCTTAAGATGGTCAATTTTAGGTAATGTGTTTTTTACAATATTTTAAAATATAAAAGCAAGAACTATGCCATCACTTTAATGGCTCCCAGAATTTCCCCTACTAACCAGCTACTTTTAGAGCATTATGCAATTTAAATGACCTGGTAAAAGGATAAAAGCAGAAAAAATAATTATGTAAAATCAGGGGTTCTGATTTTATTACCAACTGTCTTCACGCAGATTGTGTCATATGGATTTACATCAGTAAAATCCAACAGAGGCATCTCCACTTCCACCTCCTCTTGTCACCAGACAGGGTATCATTTGGTTTCTTAAATTGTAGCAGACTGAGCATGAAAATCACTTCACTTCACTTCATTCCTTTATTTTCCCCCCTACATCTAGGAATTTATGAAAAAAATTATCACAGATAAGCAAAGATTTAGCTAAAAGGTGATTCAAAACAGTGTTTTTTCAATAGCAAGAAACTGGAAAAAAAAACTGCTAAACAATAGGCAGCTGGCTAAAGAAATACTTCATTTTAGATAATGAGAAAATGTTTACTATAAATGTGTAAAAAAGACAGTATGTAAAATAGCATGCACTATATGATTCCATCTTCCAAATCTTGTCAATTGCATTTAAGGGGTAATGAGACTAAAGATGGTATCTGTGTGTTCTTATGAAGGGTTTCTAAACTATGAAGATCACTTACTACTTTTACAGTTAGAAAAACTTTAGTGCCAACTATTCAATTTTTTAAGAAAGCAAAAAAAAAAAAAAGAATTTTAAAATAGTTCACTCATTATATGTCAGTTATCTCAATAAACCTGGGAAAAGATAATAGGCTTCACTGCACAAAAAATAAAAATGAAAAAGTTTAATTTGATCTACCTAAAACCAAAATCCTCCCCACCAAAACTAGTTCTCTATTTTTTAATTATTTTTAAGGGTTTTATTTATTTATTTGACAGAGAGAGACACAGCGAGAGAGGGAACACAAGCAGGGGGAGCGGCAGAGGGAGAGGGAGAAGCAGGCTTCCCACCGAGCAGGGAGCCCAATGCGGGGCTGGATGCCAGGACCCTGGGATCATGACCTGAGCCGAAGGCAGACGCTTAAGGACTGAGCCACCCAGGCACCCCACCAGTTCCCTATTTAATATCCTTTTAGCCAATGTCAGAATCATTTGCCCCATGGTTTTCAAAATTTCATTTATCATGGATTCCTTCTACCTCTCTACCCTCAGACCCAATTGATAAAATTCTTATGATTCAATGGTTTCCCATACCTGCCCATTCCTTTCTCACTGCTATCATCAACTATGGTTCAGGCCTTCATTATCCATAATAAAAATTTTCTAATTAAATCCTATCTGGTCTTCTTATATTCTCCCCCATTGTAATCCACTCGGTTAACTTCAACCAGGCTTGCAAACACTACCAATGCCACCATTCCTCTCCAACCTTTGGACTGCTACAACCATCAGCTCCACCTGACCTTCAGTGCTCTCCACAATTTGGTTCTAACTACTTTCCAATCTCACCTCACTTCTAGTAATTCTCAGCTGCTACAGGAACAGTAGTAGAAGTTATCAGTTACTGAGCACTTACTTGGCTTCAGCAAGAGTGCTAACTGCTTTGTAAGCATAAATTCTTTAATCACAATGCCCCTCTTGAAGGGTATTACTATTATCAGCTATATTCTTTAAATGAGTGAGCAAGCAAAAGGCAATTACAGATTAAATTCCTTTCTTTTTATGTAAAAAGAAAGAACACTGGCTTAAAGACCGATATCATTTGTGGCTCCAGTTCTTCCACCAGGTAGCACTGTGACTCATATATTCAGTGCTTCTTCACTGATGAGTACTGCTCATTTGTTACTCATGTTTTCTAACATATTGTTAACATGTTATTCTACTGAAGGAAAAACAGGGCAAACTGGTAAAATAATTTTATTTTTAAATGGCCACTTATTCCTTTGTTTCAAATGCTCAGCTGCAGTTCTTGAACACAAGGCCCACCTTTTAAGGTATTGGACTAGACGAATATGACTTAAAAATTAGTTCACCTACTGTGCTTGATATAATTTTCCTCAAAAACCTCATTAATCATTTTTAAAGGCAACATTCTTTTTCTGATTTAATTACAAAATAAATCACCAATTTAAAATATAAATATTTATATACTTCTCACAAATTACATTTGTACTGGTATTCACTCATTCATCATTTGAATCATTTATTCATTCAACAAAAACACCAGGAGAAAAGTACTACTCCATGTGCTTAGGATATGGCAATAAACATGAAAAAACAAAGTTCTTCCTCTCACGGAGCTCACATTCTTTCTAATGGCAGGTACAGATGATAACTAAGTACATATACAATATTTTAAATCTTCAAAGAGTGATACGTACTGTGAAGGAAAAATAAATAAAAAGCCAAAAAGAAAACGACAGTGTAATACAGTGGGTGGGAAAAGGGCAGGTGGAACCAAATGAAAGGGCAGTGAAGGACGCTGAAGAGGTAACACAGGAACATAAATCTAAATGAAAAAAGGCACCAGCTAAGTAAAGATCTGGTGGAGAGAGCATCCAGCTACTCTGTTAGCGATTAGCAAGGCAGAAACCCTGATCTGATGTGAGAAATGCTTCACCTGCTTTAAGAGTAAAATGGATACTGTTGAAATGGTTCAAGATGAGGTTAAATGGAGACTCATGACTAGTGCTACCATGGAGTTTTAAATAAGATCTAAGTGTAAAGGGAAGCAGTGCAGTTTTAAACAGGGGTATGATGAGCCCTGACTTCTTAAAAGATAAACCAGGCTGCAGTTGCGTAGGGCATTAAGAGAACAGGAAGATGAGTTGTTAACAATCTAGGCAATGTATGACAACCACTTAGACAAGGGTAGTTAGCAGAAGTTACAAAACACATATACTATAGTTCTATTTTACAAGACACAATGGTCTTCCATTTTTATAATAAACTGAACTCATATTTTTCTCCACTCCCTCCCAAAAAGCCACTAAAATAGTAAAACAATTTATAAAGGTGGAAACTGAAAGAAATGGAGAAAAGGGACTCATACTACACAGCTGTCAAGAAACTTTTGGAAGATGGAAAAAGTGGAACAAGGAATAACGACCGAAAGTGATATAATTCATTCTGAGCAACTTTGGAGGGGTCAGGACTTTGAGGTACCAAGCTCCTTGAAATGTTGACAATTAAGATCAACTGAGAATCTCTACATCAGTCTGTTAAAACTCTTATCATATAGAGCCAAAAGACAGGAGTGAGAAACCAAGCCAAAGATTTGCATTTGAAGATCCAAATCATAGACAAAAGTAAGGCACTATTCTGAAAACAGATGGCCTATGTTATCTACCCAGCAAATGCGATGCATTTTTTTTTTTTTTGGAGAAAATTAATAGCCCAGAAGAGAAGACCTATAAATAATATTTGGGAATCATCAAAGACAATGATCTAGTACAATCTTACTGAAAGTTAGACTGATAACATGTATCAAGTCCTTAACATGAATCAACAATTTCATCTTTAGGAATTTATCACATACATGAAACAAGAAGACATAGATGAGTCAAGAGTATACTAGAAGAGATGTTCACTGCAATACTGTTTACAATAATATCAAAGCAACTGAAACACTTAGTCAAAGAACACAGAGTTGTTAAATTATGATATAGCCATTCACTAAATGGAAAACAGTGATGTAAGTTGTACATATATTACATGAAAAGAACAGTATGCAAAATACATGGAGCCAAAACACAGGGCTAAGCCTTTTGCTCAGGGAGCTTTTTTCCTGGGGCGCCTGGGTGGTTCAGTTGTTAAGCGTCTGCCTTCGGCTTGGGTCATGATCCCAGGGTCCTGGGATCAAGCCCCACAACCGGCTCCCTGCTCAGTGAGAGGCCTGCTTCTCCCTCTCCCACTCCCCCACTGCTTGTGCTCCCTCTCTCACGGTCTGTCAAATAAATAAAATCTTAAAAAAAAAACAAAAAACGGAGCTTTTTTCCTATGATGAACATAGATTAACTGCATAATAAAAAATATTAATATTATGATTCTTGAAAAGTAAATTAACCATAAAAATTTTACACTTAATGATATTTAGATCTCAAAAAATAAGAAACCATTAAGAAATTAGTAATGCCTGCTTTAAAAAAAAAAAACCCATGTAACTCCATCTTATTAAATTACTTCTAAATTTAAATCAATGATTCGGTGAAAAAAAGTAAAACGTAAGAAATAACTGAACTACAGATGAAAGATTCCATAATCAGTTCTCCATATCCTTACCACTATACCCTTAATAAAATTTGAAATTTGATAAATAACCATCAAAAAGCTATGTGCAGGTAACACCTTCAGGAGGATTTTTAAATCTGCACTTTCAGTGCTATTTAAAACATTCTTATTTCCTATAGTGTGAGAGCAGACATTTGGAATTTCTAATCATTAAATGTCTCAGGCAAAACAAAATTTATCTTAAGCATTTAAGAAATGAAAATTGAACTTTCTGGAAAAAGAAGTTTTACGGAAGTGTAACAGTCTTGAAAATCCTGGATAATGCTGTCTAGCAGACAGAGGGGATGGACAACAAAAGTAAACAATGTGTTCAGAAACAGGGAGAAGGCCAAGTAAAGTAAGAAATAACTACTTAGGAAAATGTCATTTGAAATATTAAGTATGAAAGCAAATATATATAAAGTAAGTGGAAAGGAAGTAAAAATTCATATACACAACAATCATTATTAGTTAAAATTGCAGACATGAACAATGCCAAAAATAATACGAACAAAAATCTACTGCACAATTAAAGGTGGGTAAGACAAATAGACCACTAGAATAAAAAAGACTACATTCCCATGCATACATATATAGGAATTAAGTATAACAGAAACGGCATTTCACAACATAATAAAAGACAGACTGAGTCATTAACTCATTAATCATTAATACATGACAAAGGACATTTACTATCACTTTCAATTAGATCCCTATGTCACACCATAAATTAAAAAATCCTAATGGATAAAATTATTAGGAAAAAATTATTAGAAAAATAGCATAGTGTTTTTAAGGTTATGAATTGAGAACACCATCTTAACTATATCCAGAAAGCCCAGAATCTATAAAAGAAAAGACAAACATTAACAAGCAAACTTAGAACCAAATAGAAAAGTAGTCAATCCTGCAGATATACTTGCACAACTATACAAGCCTGCCTCACCAGGATGTTCTCTGCTGCACTACCAAAATGCACAAAATTAATAAAAGCAACTCAGTGGTTGCAATCTGACACCATGAGAAGAAGGACAGATTTAAATAAATAAATAACACTCATACACTGAATACTACGCCATCAATTTAAAAAATGAGCTAAATCTGAATATACTGATGTAGGACTGCAAAAGATAAACAGTCCTCTCCGACAGTTTTCCCATCCTGACTTCTAGAACTTGGAACTATAATTTGACTTAAGAGCCATCAAATTGTGATTTCCAATTTTCTATGGAATTCTAGGAATTTAAAACACATCTGGATACTATGACATAAAATAGGGATTTTATAAAAGCATATTTCCTTATACCAGCTGAACAGAGCATCAAAGACATTATCTTATTAAATGTGAAAGAACTGCTGATCTCTATACTTTCCCCTCCCCAACAGTATCAAAATCAAAATGTTACTTTAAGTCCCCTATCCATGAATGCCTTCCAAAATAATAAACTAGGTGAACAAGAGTTTATTCAATGTCAACTTCTGAATGGTGAAATATGATTTTCTACAGCAATCTGTGACATGCATTTTATAAATATAAATTAGATTAATAGTCTAACAGTTATCTGCTTAATAACCAGCTAAAGTTAGTAACAAGTTCCAAAAATGATTCATAATTTCCAAAATAATTTCATGTTTTCATTCATTACAAATGCTTTAAATAGCAACCTCCTTAAAAAATGTGAAATAGACAATCCCTGAATGAATACTTTGAACTTATGTTCGATTTAAAGAAAAACAAAAAACGACTTATCAATACCTGGTCAATGACAGTTGATGTTCAAAGATGCAGATAACTGAAAACTATCTGATGGTATCACAGCTTATATATATGGTAACTATAAATCTTGACCTCTCAGTTTCAACTTCAGCGATGCCACCTACTTGATACAAAAAATGTCTAAATATCTCAAATCATTTCCATAATCTTCTGACAAAGAAATCACTTAGTTATAAATAATAACTTACAAAGAGTTTTGTGGAATGACTTCCTAATGTATTGGAAATCTACATTTTTATTACTTGTAAAAACATGTTCAGCATAATTTAGGTGGTCTCTTTTTAATATGATAATATCCAGTCACGTTGAAAATCAAAAAAGTTCCCAGAACACTTTAAGACAGTGATTACCTCTGAGGAGGGAGCAGGCAGAAAGAGTTGGAGAGAGAGTTTTTAGCTTTTGCTGTGAACTTAAATTTCTTTAAGTAAAACCTAGAAGCAAATGTGCCATTTGGAGGCAGAGTTCCTGGGTTCTTAACAACTCACTACCTCTTTCTGACCTTGGGCAAGTTATTTAATTTCCCTGTGCCTTGGTTTTCTTTACCTGTAAAATGGGGATCATTTTTCCTGCTATATAGGATTAAATGAGTTGACAGATGTGAAGTGCTTACAATAGTACCTAACACATGGTAAATGTTATTGCTATTATTATCATCAGCCTCATCACCTATAACCATCAACTAGGCAATCTAGCTGAAAGGAACTGGGAAAAGAGGGAACTGGAGGGTGACATCTGATTTCTACACTTCCTAACATTTCAAACATAAATTCTATTTTTGTAACCAGTGATAAATAACCAACTTAAGTGAAAAAGCAGTATACAGTAGAATAACAGTTTCAGTCTTCAATTTTCAAAAACATGAGACAATACAGGCTTTGGAGTTTGATATTTATTTTTAGCAGGAAGAATATGCTAATGATGATGACATCGTTAGAAGATACGCCCATGTCCAATACCTGCAACAGAAGCTCAATAGAAGTTAAAGAAACCATACCAAAAGACTAAGGACAAAAATTGCATAACATTACTTACCCTTAATTCTGCTAACAATAAAACAAGTAACAATATGTGTAAGATTGAAGTTGCATCACAAGATCAAAAACTAGCCAAGTTGAATATCGTACGTATCTTCATAAAATATTTTACCTTTTCCTTTCTATGTACAATTGGGAAACCTTTTGTACGTGCTCTCTCCAAGGTAGAGCATGGTGCCAATAACTATGCTCCAAATTGTAAAGGGGTAATGCTAAATTAAAAGCTGAGAATCTGGGGTGGGAGAGCTCTTGATCAAACAGCTGGTCTCACAGGTAGAAATGATGATCCTCTTTGGCAGAGACCGCTAAAACAAGAACTAGACACTAATAAAAGCAACTTAGTAGAGGCAGTATCATAACATACCTACAAATTTACAGAGAACTGCTTAAATAAAGGGATCCAGACGAGTTAGAAATTCTCCTACATATACATATAGAAAAAGAAATTGCTAGAGCAATAAACAATTTAAACAAGAACTAGTCAAAAAAGATTCTGGTCCAACCACCCCTGACAACAGCTACTCTGCTCAAAGGAAGTAGGAAAATGTTTCTCACCCCTGAACCTCCAGACTCATCAACAGTATCAGTCACCACTTAACTTAAAGGAGTGATGACTTTCTTTTACCAAAGGTTGTGTATGAGCCAGGAGTGAGGTGGGAATATGTTAAACATTAGAATCAGGGATGGAACAAAAGAGTAACTTGAAGACTAACTTCTTGAACGGAATTGATGAACTTTACAGGGACAGGGAGAGGGGGACTAGCATACCCACAATTAATTCTATGCCAAAAAAACTCCTTTTATTTTTTGATTGTATACCTAAAAGTGCATACATGTACTCTGAACAGGAATTCAAGAAATCCAACCATAATTTACTGTAGCTGACACCAGACTTTATACTGCTATTTTCGCATAAATCTGTTCTTGAAAATAAGAGTTTAAGCTCTTCAGATGAATTACTACTACTGGAATTCCACATGAATAATTTTATAAAGCAACCAATTTTCATAATACCAAATTTCTAAATTTACTTAGGCTGCTGACTTGGTTCAAGTAGAAAGAAACCCATTCCTGCAAGGAGTAGCTTACCTGGGCCATTGTCTAAAAAGGTCTATGTCAAAAAATGCAAAACGTGCGGAAACAGAGTATTCTGAAACGCCTACCCAAGAAATAAACAAGCACTAAAGAAGGAAAAGGTTACGCACTTCCAATTTATGCTCTTTCTCTGCAAGGGCTTCCTTTTGACAACGAAGAAAATCTGCTAACATTCGAGTGAGTTGCTTCCTATCATCTATTTCAGCCGCCAATCTGCCATTGTAATCTGCCAGCAACATACAAGCATCCTCTACCATTTTAGAAAGCCTTTCTCCAGATTCTTTATCTAAGAAAAGCACAGAATAACAACATTATTACACAACAAAAACAATGCCATATGCCATTCCCTCACCCTGACTTCCAAAAAAGTTCCAGATCACATTTTTCTTTTCTTACCTGTTATCTTATCTAGTAGGGATACTTCTTGGACTTCAACAGGCAAAGATGCTATCCTCTGATGAACTGCTGCATCACCTGAGGCTGCATTCTCTAGATCTTGTAATGCTCTAACAAGATCTAGAGTCTAAAAAGTTATACAATTTTAGAACCATAATAAATGAAGCTTAAACAAATACAAAAGACTTAAAATTTATTTCATATTCCTTACTCCTTATGGGCTATGTATCTGTCGGAAGTTTTAAATATAAACTACTTTTGAAGGCAGTCCATTTCTTTTAAGAAATATTAAGAAAAAGAAACTATACTATGTCAAGTATTAGAAATACATAAATTGAAAACTAAAATAAGACATGGCGGGCGCCTGGGTGGCTCAGTTGGTTAAGCGACTGCCTTCGGCTCAGGTCATGATCCTGGAGTCCCTGGATCGAGTCCCGCATTGAGCAGGGAGCCCGCTTCTGCCTCTGACCCTCCCCCCTCTCATGTGCTCTCTCTCTCTCATTCTCTCTGTCTCAAATAAAAAAAAAAAAAAATAAGACATGGCCCTCAGCCCTGAGGAAGTCATACTCCAGTGGTAGAGACAGATAGTGTAAAAATAATTATCAGACTCTGAAAGTAACATGCATCATTTATATGCCAAATACATACAGTGGCAAAAGGGAAAGCAGGCTATAACTTCAACCTAGACAATACAAGTTTTACATATGACATATTCATTATATTATCATTATACATGAGCAGAATTTTTTTAATACTAAATTGGATATTTGGGGTAGGGGGATACAAATTGTTCTACTACAACAAAGAAGAGTCTTACCGATTGTATTTCTATATGACATAATTAAAGCACAAGAGCAATGTAGCTTTGGAATTTGTTTAAATACGGTATCTTCAACTACTCTACAGTTTGTTAACAAGATCATTAAAATATCACAAAATTCCATACATCTGATGACTAATACTTACATAAACACTTAGCCAATATAAAAATTATTTTATCATTAGAATATTTTACTTGCACTGTTTTCATATCAGATATAATTAGGAGGGAACAGCAGGCCTTTGCTGGTAACTTCACAATTCATAATGTCTATAAATTTACTCCAGAGAAAAATAAATACATTTTCTTTTTACTGGTCTCTATTTCCATCCCACCTCCTTCTTTTTTTCTTTTTTTATCTCTAAGACTAGTTCCTGGAACAGTAGGAAATTACACACACTTGAAAAATATAGGATATAATCAATTCTGTGCATACATTAAAGATGACACTGACAGATCGTTACTGGTTTTTCTTTAAGCTATTCCCTTACAAAAAAGTGCTGTCACTGGGGTCTAGCACAAAGTAAATATCAAACAAGATTAAGAATGAATGGAATCTAATATGAAATATACTATCCCACATAAGCTTTTAATTCATTACTATGTGTTTAATATTCTAATATTTTACAAAATAATTTTGATGTAAGATATATCCCCTTACAAATGAAAGTGAGCTTAAGAGCAATGATGATTGGGCGCCTGGGTGGCTCAGTTGGTTAAGCAACTGCCTTCGGCTCAGGTCATGATCCTGGAGTCCCGCATCGGGCTCCCTGCTCGGCAGGGAGTCTGCTTCTCCCCCTGACCCTCCCCCCTCTCATGTACTCGCTCTCTCTCATTCTCTCTCTCTCAAATAAATAAAATTAAAAAAAAAAAAAGAGAGCAATGATGATTATCAGGAAGCTTGTTTCTCATGGTGCCCCAATTAACTTTTATATAGTAATTTTTTAATTAGTCTTAGAACGTTCTAAAATTTTCTGAAGTTCTGAGAAGTAATCTGGCTTTATGGTCTTGATATGCATGCTTTAACTACAATCTGCTCTCATCTCGCCTTTACATTCCCACATGAGTTAATTCTAAGTTTCCAGTGCTGGGTCAAGGATCAGATAAAAAAGCAAAGTTGTCTGAAAACAACACTAGCCTACAACTTTCTAATAGAAGAGAATGAAATGAGTTCAACTGGATCCTACAAAGAGAAATTTTAGCCATTCTTAAAATAAAATGGTAGCTACAAAGCTGAACCACTGAGAATTAAGCAGTATAACTAATCTGAAAAGTCATTATAAAATGAAAAGCAACAGCATTTTATTTAAGTACTAGATTAGAGTCAGACAGATACTCCTAAGATGTACAACTGAGGTTACTCTTTTCATCAGGGAGAACACAAGAGGATCAGACCCTGTATCTAGAACTTGGGTAAAATACTGTTCATGGAATCATAATAAGGCTCTCAGCACAAAGTGCTTTGTCTTAATTATTACCAAATAAAAAGAAATATAAACCTTAGCGTTTGGTTATTTGAAATGTTATGTTATTATTTTTTCCTCAAACTTCTGTCCCTGGTGATCATGTGGGCTTCTGCACCTCCTGTCAACGAGTGAACAGGTAGTTTGGATCAGGTCCTGGCTGAGTACCTAGCTGAGATTCTTTCTGCCTCCCCAGTATTAACAGTGACATAACACACCAACAGTTTTAGGCAGTGATTGGTTTTATCTTTCTTTCAAGTTCCTTTCATTGGGAAAGAGTTTCACCCAGCCTCTGGTTTCATGCAGTGAATTCAGGTCCAGTCCTCCAACTCCCATGGAGCACTTTGAGTTCTTATTACCCTAGTATTTCTGGAAAGCCATATGTACTTCCGGACCAAAGCTTAGCAAGAACCAGGCTCTGGCTCACATACTGAATTGTGCTTCTGTACCATTTCTAGCCCACGAAGATATTTACCTTGTTTTATGAGTATGGCTATGTCTTCATTTTCTCCTTTTAAATTTTATCTGTCCCTCCTATATGTTTGAAACATAGAAGGAGGAAGCTTTAACACTCAATGCCCACATTAATTAAAAGTTAAAAATGTTTTTCTGGAATCATTGATGGCTAAAGAATGCTATACTGTACCAACCTGGAAGGACATGGGGTATTAAGATAATGACTCTAATCCATCTTATTTTACCATGGAACTATATGGTTCTATAGTTACATAGAACTGTATGAATACATGCTTGTTACTGTAACACTCATTTTTACATGTTTAAAAGAAAAAATACTCTAAAGGGCAGTGTTTATCTCTATGAATGGCACTTTCAGTGTACTTAAATCATATAACAAAATAGTCTTACTACATAATGTTTTATTTATTTAAAAGGAAACTATTTAAATGGTGGATATCTCACCAGACCTCATATTTAGCAATCAGATATTCTTTTTCTATGCAAAATACGGTTGCCTACTATACATTATACAACATATATTAAACATAAGCAATCTGTTAATCAGAAAATAAGAGATATTCACATAGCTTCTTTCTTGCACTCAGAATTATAATAAAAATCAATTTATAGAAGTAAAACTTAAGTAAAATTAATAAAGCTTCGTGGCCACATGAAGTAACAGTAGCAAAACTCCCTCCACACAGAAAAACTTCTACCTGTGGTGGTTCACTTGGAGATCCCAAAGAGGAACAGTTTTCATTTTCATCCCCCACTTTTATCTGTTCATAAGTTCGCTTCCTAGGCTTCTTATCACCATCTGAAATGGAAGAACACTGAAGTTTTAATGAAAGCAAACATTTTAACGAAGAGATCATGATAAAAGATTACACACTTACACAGAGCTTGCTTAAGTTGTTCTAATACATCATTCTCATAAACAGACCTTTCTTCCCAAATAGATAATACCCTTCCAAGGTGCTTCTTACAACTTTCATCAGTTTCACTAAAGAAAAAATACAAATAATAACAATTAATAGAGCTACTAAAAAGGTAATGGTTATTTTTAATAAAGATTTTATTTTTTTAAGTAATCTCTACACCCAAAATGGGGTTCAGACTTAGAACCCTGAGATCAAGAGTCACACGCTCTACTGACTGAGCCAGCCAGGTACCCGTAGACACATTATTAAACAAAAAATTACAAAAAAATGTAAAGGTGCTCACACTGGCTACTAGGGGTTTACAAAGAAGATGCCCCTAACTGAATGACGGCTGAATATGAGGCTAAGAAGATTTCAGATAGGTGATTTTTAAATTTATTTAACAAATACTTATTGATCAAGGCACTATCTTTGACACTGGAGATACAAATGGAGCTTTACAGCAGCTGTTGCTTATAAGGGCCACAAAAAAGAACAAGCTATTAAAGACAAGCATAATGCAGAGGCCTGGCCCACTTCAAAACAGATTAAAAAAAGGATCTGAGGAAGTGATATTTGAGATCTGATGACTGGAATAACAGGGTAGTGGCAAACAGACTACTCCCAACCACCTCCTAACTGCCTTCATCACTACCACTGTAGACTGAGCTGCTATTACCTCTTGCCTGGATATCTTAAGTCTTCTCATTGGTCTCTTAGGCTCTTACTCTTCACTGTGCTCTACTAATGTCAATCAAATCATACGGCTCTTCAATCCCCTAAGAGCTATCAATCATACCAAGAATAAAACCCAAATCCTTATGCTGGACCACAAGGGGGACATGTTCTACTTCCTAGCTACTTCTCAGTCTACATTCTCTAAATACTTTCTCCCATACAGGGGCACCTGGGTGGCTCAGTCATTAAGCGTCTGCCTTTGGCTCAGGTCATGGTCCCAGGGTCCCGGGATTGTGCCCCACATTGGGCTCCCAGGGAGCCCACTTCCCCCGCTTGTGTTCCCTCTCTCGCTGTGTCTCTGTCAAATAAATAAATAAAATCTTTAAAAAAAAAACAAAACACCTTCTCCCATACAAATCTCCTTGCTGATCCTCAAACATGCCCAGCACACAGCTGTCTATTTCTGCCAAGTATTCCCTCTACATAGAATCCTCTCCTAGAATGCTCAAGTGGCTCATTTCATCTTTTCCTTCAGTCTCTGTTCAAATGCCACCTCCCCAAAATAGTCATTCTTTATCTCATGATGTAAAGCTCTCCTACCCTCTAGTTCTTTCCTTAATTTATTTCTTCTCCTACCCTCTCCTACCCTCTAGTTTTTTCCTTAATTTATTTCTCCTCTAGTTCTCCTACCCTCTAGTTCTTTTCTTATTTCTTCACAATACTTACCTACTAGCATAGTATATATTCACCTGTACATCTAGTTTTTACCTTTGTCATCCACTGAAATGCAAGCTCCACTAGGACAGAACTTTATCCTGTTCGCTAAAGTATCCTTAGGGCCCAGCACGTAGTAGCCAGTCAATAAATACTTTATTGAATTTCTCAGAAGAGGCAACATATTTAAAAAACTTAAGGTAGAAAGAACTAAAAGAGTGAGTTCAGTTAGCTTAAACTTGGACTATAAATTGTGTGTGTGGAAGAAATGTGAGACAGGAGTCTGAAAATGTGGACAGGGCCATGAAGCAACACCTTAAGTCTTGCTCAAGACTTTAGACTTAATCTCTGGGACAAATGAGAACAACTCAAAGGCAAGGAAGCGTTATGATCAGCTCTGCAACTGTGGCTAGTTTTGTAAGTGGATTAAACAATACTGGAGGCTCCTGCAATTATTATAGAAAATGACATTATGGGGGCACCTGGGTGGCTCAGTCAGTTAAGTGTCTGCCATTAGCTCAGGTCATATCTTGGGGTCCTGGGACAGAGCTGCGCCCTGGGCTCCCTGCTCAGTTGGGAGTCTGATTCTCCCTCTCCTTCTGTCCCCCCTTCCCCCCAACCCCCACTCATGCTTTCGTGTGCGCTCTCTAAAAAAATAAATAAAATCTTAAAAAGAAAAAAAAAAAAAAAAGAAATGACATTATGGAAACTGGAATGGAAAGAAATCTAAAGAACTGTGGGAACTATATATACTACATGGGATAAAGGGAGTGAAAGAGAGAGGAGAATGTGATATACTATATATCACAGTATCAGAGAAAGTTAAAGCTGAGACCTAATTTCTCATATGGGCATCTGGATAGATAGAGTTGGATCTACTGAGAGAGTGAAACCTAGAGGAGGAGGAGCAAGTCTGACAGGAGCAAGGACAATATGAGTTCAACAGGACTTAGTACGTTTGAGATGTATGGAGGCATACAACTAGAAATTCATTAGGCAAGAGGACACACAGGTCTAAAACAAAGAAAACACATCTGGACTGGAGTGTAAGATTGCGAGTTATTAGGGTGTGGATAATAACTAAATACATGCAATGTATAAAATCGCCCAGAGGTCAAGTGAAGAATATGACCACAGAAAGAGGGCTAAGGACTGAACTCTTAAGAAATGCCAACATCTGAAAAGATGGTAAAAGACAATATCTAAACGGAAAGATAAATAATATACATTTAAGAAAGTAACATACAGCACTGTAATTTTTGAAAAATGCATCCACTATGACTAAAGTTGCAGGGCATGCCTGGAGTATATTCTCATCCTTAAATCATTCAACACAGATCTTCATTTACCCCTGGATTCTATAATTTAGACTGATTTAGTAGTCTACCCCAATAATGTTTACCCAGTAATCTACCAAATATTCACATATGTTGGAAATAAGCATTTAAAAGGGGCATAAGCCAAAGCCCTGACCTTTACCCTCAGAATTTTTCTGTAGCAAAATTTTTCAACAGGCTTATAATTATTTTAAATAAATATTCTATACTTCCAAAGCATTTTAAAATGTTGTAATATGTACCCAAACACTAAAAAAACCTTAAAGTTATAAGCAATATGAAAGGAAAAGGTATGACGTTTATCCAGAAATATTAGTTGGAAAAATAACTTTATAAGCACACAAATTTTCAATTCAATACCTTCATTTATTCTTAATGAAGTTCATTCCAAAATGGCAGTTGCTTTTGGTCTCTTAAAGGAAAGCTGTTAATTCAAGTACTCCATATACCCACCATTGCAACAGTTCAAAAATTTCCATTCACACAAAGTATTTAACACATTTACAAATGCCATTTGTAGTTAAGTCTTTTCAAATGAAAATTTCAAAGAAATAAATTCCCTGTTTTTTGTTTGAATGGCTTACGGCAAATTTTAACAAAAGGACATATTATGCATATTTAAAAGAGGTTACCTAGTACTCAATTACCATACCTTGAAACATGTTTAAAAGCCTCCACTATAACTGGTGCAAAATCTTTTGTAAACTCCGGTCCCTTCCTTTTGCTGTTCTGAATGACATCATTGGCTAGGTAGAGAAAAGTAAGCTTCCTGTTTGGTTTGGCTGAAAAATAAAAAAAAAAAATTAAAAATCTACTTAAAATATCCTCATTTAACTTGGACAAACTTTCTCAATATAGGACTCAAGCAGTTTGAGAACTACAACAAACCTACTAACCTTTATGTATCATGTTCAACTCTAGCTTCTCATTCTACTACCGAACTTATCAAGTCACTATTCTTTAACTCTCTAGGTTTCTATAGTTTCTGGAGATGCAGTATGTGAGGAAAAAAAGGACTCAGGAGGAGGAACTAGTCAATAATTAGTTTCCCTGCGCTTTTACTAAGTTGCCCAAACTACTTACCTTTGATTACTAGTCTTATCACTATTCCCAAATTAGTAGTTTTATACACCAAAATCCTCAGGTCTACAAAAATGCATCTCTGTGACTCAATCTGTACTAAATTTTGTTAAAACTATTAAACACTACATGAAATACAGCTTATTTAAAATAAGATGGTAACTGGTCATGTTAAGATGGTACCTTAAAGCTTGAATTTATGACTGTTTTAATACCCACATTGATTTTAAAGTTATCATTAAGTTATTGTAAAACAAGAGTACGAAATGTAAAATATGTTGAAAGAGACCTCACTTCAATTAATTATGTACTTTTTGTTTATGAAATAAATATTTCCCAAGCTGACAGAGTAAATGTTAGGGAGACCAAATGGGCAGTTTAGATTTTCACCCACTTTGGATTACATGGCCTTAAATAGTTGAATTCATCTGGACAAAAAGATGTCTCTTCTCATAATATTCAGTGGGTGTAGTCATTCTTCTAAAAGAACGGAAAAGATTTCAACAGTTGTGGGCCAGAATACATTTTTACTAATTACAATGTTAAGTGTTAAGTGGTACAGTATTAAGTACAACTCAAGTTAAGAGTCATACATACAAGTAAAATTTAGTAGGTTGAACATAATCTTTTATATTGACTATTTTCATAATATAATTTTACTAGAATTAAATATGAATTATTCAAAGTAGTACAGTTATATTCAGAAACACTGTACTCTGTGGCATCCACATTCAATGGCATAGGAAACTTATGGTCAAGACTGATAATCCAGTGCACCATATATGTGTGCCAGCTTAGTGGATTTAAGACGAAAACAGGCAGGCTACTTTGGGCCCTCTAGATTTGAGTATTCAGTTTAATCATTCAACACATTAAAAGCCACTTCTGAGTTCATGTCTTTCTTGAGAAAAAACTAGTGACACACAACCTGCTTACAAGAAACTAAAATACTGAGTCAGAGACGACCAGACTTTATAAATCTGTGCCATCCACTGCATAGTCTCATTTGCCTGTCTAAAGATGTGGCTCACTACTATGCTTTTGAAAGTCCTGGAATAGAATAAAGATATGGAAGAGATGGCAATAACAAAGACCAACTTCTGATTCTTTTGGCTCTGGTCTGGTCAGATAAACCATTCAGTATAACTGATTAAGATACCAGGACCCTTTCCCATGAAGATGATCATAATGACAACTTTCCCAATATTCAAACCTGTCTCTTTTTTACCTATCCCTGCCCAAAGAAAATCCCACCCAAAGAAAAGGTTAATATTAATTAATTAATCCAAGTATTTGCCTTCTCAGCATCAAAATGAGTTTAAAAACTCAAATTTTTATTATTATCTACTTGGGAGACCATCTGTAGTACTTTAAATGAGTACCTGAATCAATGGGCTCCTTTTCCTAAATACTGGTAACATTTATCAAACTTTTACTATGTGTTACACACTATTCTAAGCACTTTACATGTATTACCTAATTTAATCCAAATAATTTAAGGTACCATCATTACCTGCATTGGGCAGTTTTAACAAATAGGCATCAAAAGGGTTATCTGCCCATACTGAGATATCCAGGAAGGGATCAGCCAGGAATTAAATCCAAAGTCCAACTCCTAAGCATTCCCTCTTAACTGGACTACGCCTCTTACGACTATGTTATAAATGAAAGAGGATGTTACCTTTTGAAAAGATCAAGTAGTGACCCAACCAAAATACTTTAGAATGTTAGCAGCACTATTCACAATAGCAAAAGGTAGAAGCAACACAAGGATCCACTGACAGATAAATGAATAAACAAAATGTGGTAATCCATACAAATGGAATATTATTCAGCCTTAAAAAGAAAGGACATCGTGACACATGCTACAACATGAATGAACCTAGAGGATATTACGCTAAGTGAAACAAGCCAGTCACACACACAAAAAAATACTATATGGTTCTGCTTATATGAAATACCTAGAATAGTTAAATTCATAGAAACAGAAAGTAAATGGTGATTGCCAGGCGCTGGAGGGAGAAAGGCACAGAGAGTTACTGTTTAAAAGGTATAGAGTTCCAGTTTTAGAAGATGAAAAGAATTCTAGAAATGGATGGTGATGATGGTTGCGTAATAGTGTGAATGTATTCAATACCAATAAACTAACATTTAGAAATGGTTAAAATGGTAAATTCTGTTATGTACCACACAAAATAAAAAGTGTATTTTACCATATTTATAAATCCATGGGCTACCAGCTCTTAAAAATAATTCAGAATGGTTTCTACAATGTACATTAAAGCAAAAATTTACAAGATATCAAAATGTATTTCCCAGCATATTCCAAAAAACAAACCCAAAAAATTTTTTTTAAAGATTTTATTTATTTATTTGAGACAGAGAGAATGAGAGAGAGAGAGCACATGAGAGGGGGGAGGGTCAGAGGGAGAAGCAGGCTCCCCGCCGAGCAGGGAGCCCGATGCGGGACTCGATCCAGGGACTCCAGGATCATGACCTGAGCCAAAGGCAGTCGCTTAACCAACTGAGCCACTCAGGCGCCCAAACAAACCAAAATTACAGCATGGATTTGGTATGAGGTCCAAATATCAACACATTATTTTCATTTTCTTCCCCTTGTGGAACCCAAGCTAAAATATGAGAAACACTTAGAAACCGCTATAACGTATATCCTTCTCCAAATTCTCAGTAAAAAAACTTACTTCCATTTAAAATTATGTGTACCTTCATGGAGAGCAAAAATAAACTAATGGAACTAATTACAACAAGCAATTCCAGAAGAAAATCACAAAAATGATTTTCAAATGAATTTTGATAATTTGATAATAACAGAGCCATAATTGTTATTAAAGCATACAAAATTGGGGCGCCTGGGTGGCTCAGTTGGTTAAGCGACTGCCTTCAGCTCAGGTCATGATCCTGGAGTCCCAGGATCGAGTCCCGCATCGGGCTCCCTGCTCGGCGGGGAGCCTGCTTTTCCCTCTGACCCTCCCCCTTCTCATGCTCTCTGTATCTCATTCTCTCTCAAATAAATAAAAAAATAAAATCTTAAAAAAAAAAAGCATACAAAATTAACAGAAAGAGCAAACAAACCATTTCATAATTCCTTAAAGAAAAAACTCTGTTGGGAATAAAATATAACGCTTAAAACTGGGTCTGACCTAATCTCTTCCTTTATTTCTATTGTCACAGGGTTCCTTGTAAAACTGGCTATTTTCTAAATCTTCCATTCAATCTAAATAGCATTTATTTAACGTTTGCTATGTGCCAGGGACCATGCCGGGCATTGACCAAAAATAACCTTTCCTGTTCAATCAAGAATTTTCAAGCTCTATATAGACTGGCACATGACAGGTCACATCACTAAAAATGTGAGTTCTCTTTATTCCTACTCTCCACTAATGTATCACACCAACACTGGAAGCAATCATAAATATAATATATCCAAGTATATCTGTATGTGTATACTGCTATTTTTGTGCTAATAAAGTATAAGCAAATAAGGACCAGTCAATATTTACATTGTAGGAACCATTTTCTTATATCTCACCTCTCTGAACTAAAAATTTTAAGCTACTGTGGGTATTAAGTATAGCCCCTTTTCCTTGGACCTTGTATGTGAACAGGTAAATCAAAACAAATAAATAATAATAAAATCTGGCTGGATAATATATGAGGACATAATATTACCTAAAATGTTGAGCATATCCCCCAAAGGGCAATACAAATTCAGTTCATCACATAAGTAAGAGACAGTTACATAACAATTCACAATTCAAATAAAAGAAATACCAACTACAAGGCTTCAAAAAGAAGAGCCTGGGCTCTTACATAAACAATATGAAACAAACTTTGCCAATCAAAGGACTACATAAATGCCACCTAGTTTCACCAATTCATGATCAGTTCAGAATCTAGTTTTACTTAATCATAATCAGAAAGTGAGAGCATTGGGGCACCTAGGTAGCTCAGCCGGTTGAGCATATGACTTGGGTTCTGGCTCAGGTTATGATCTCAGGGTCATGGGATTGAGCCCAATGTTGGGTTCCCATGCTCGGCACAGAGTCTGCTTGGGATTCTCTCCCCTCCTCCCACTCTCTCCCCCTCTGCTCCTTCCCCCAGTTGTGCGCATTCTTGCTCACTCACTCTCTACAAAATAAATAAATAAATAAATAAATAAAATCTTTATAAAGCGAGAGCATCATTACTTTTCTTACAACTGTACAAACCATATATGCCTATTTATTTTGATATAATGCAGAATATCATAATCTAAGGTAATCACCCATGTTTTTATGGTGACTGAAATTTAAAACCACACTAGATGACAATGCCAATAAATACAACAAACAGTTAAAATTTTACTGTGTTATCTATTAACTCAAGAACCCTCTTTACAGAGGAAGCCTTCTACGGGGGAGAAGGAGCAAAAAAACTGAATAAACAAATATATACACACAGACACACACACATACCAATGAACACTACTGTAGGTCTTATAGGAGGAAATCAGAAGAAAAGCCATTATCTTGAAACAAAAACCTATTAAAGACTTACTAAAAACTGCTGGACAGCCTCATTTATTTCCCTGGTAAACTAATTATCACTATAGTATATTACAAGACATGTTCATACAGATGAATAGTTGGTTATATGGCAGAAACTGCTTTAACTCTCTTTGCCACAGAAAGTGCGTAATCCA